GGTTGCGGCAAAGACGGGATGCTGTTCCTTGTCTACCTTTATTTCTACCTTTATGTTTGTTCCTTGTCTCGTTCTAGGGGTGGACGGCCATGAGCGGCTATGCATGGGGGGTCTAGGACTCTAGGGGGTGCGGCAAAGACGGGATGCTGTGGAATGTGTGTGTGTGTGTTTTTCTTTTTCTTTCTATCTTTATTTCTACCTTTGTGTTTGTTCCTTCTCTTATTCTTGGGTAGGACCGCCATGAGCGGCAAAGACGGGATGTCGTTAATGTGTGTGTGTTTTTTTTTTCTTTTTCTATCTTTATTTCTACCTTTGTGTTTGTTCCTTGTCTTGTTCTTGGGGTGGACCGCCATGAGCGGCTATGCATGGGGGGTCTAGGACTCTAAGGGGTGCGGCAAAGACGGGATGCCGTGAATGTGTGTGTGTGTGTGTGTGTGTGTGTGTGTGTGTGTGTGTGTGTGTGTGTGTGTGTTTTCTTTGTATCTTTATTTGTACCTTTGTGTTTGTTCCTTCTCTTGTTCTTGGGGGGGACCGCCATGAGAGGCAATGCATGGGGGGTCTGGGGGTGTGGCAAAGACGGGATGTCGTGGAATGTGTGTTGATTTGTTTATTATTTTTTTTCTTTCTAGGGGTGGTTTTTTTTTTTTTGTCTCTAGGGATCTTTATGTTTGTTCCTTCTCTTGTTTGTCGCTGTGGTTGTTGTGGAACTTGTGTTCGTTCCTGTCACTACCCATCTTTTACAGGTTGATTCGTCGGTTGTTCAGTAACTTCAGTGCAGTTCTTTGTCGTTGGCGTCGAAGTTCGTTTCAGTTCACCCCTTCTGCGGATTTCATTCGGTCTCCATAACATGTCTGACCCTCGAGGCAATAACGGGAAGGGCCCCGCGGAGTCCTCCTCGGCAACGGGGAAAAGGGCGGAGGGTAGTAGAAAAGGTCACAAGACGAAGACCTTTGACTCCCCTTTTAAGGTGGATCCAAAGGCAGATGGAAAACAAGATGATCCTGTTTGGCATTTCGTTGCTCGTGGTCGTTATTTAGATGGATCCACTGCGATCAGGAGGAAGAACGGTCGCCGTTGTTTGTGCAGGTTATGCGGTCGTTCTCTGTGTGGGGGTGCTCGTGAGACGAAGGAACACTTTTTTCGTGGCAAGGGGTATAGATGCCAAGTGGCCACTCCGACGGTGTGGCACGCGATTTGGTCAAAGGATATGTCCAAGTGTCCTGCACATTTGGCTTCTGCCGTGCAGGCCTTGCAGAGTCTCCATCTAGGTCATCCCTCTTTTCAATGGCCACCTCTTCGTTTTCCCGATGACGTCGTTCCGCCGCCCCCGTCGACCGCTGCCCCCTCGCAAGTGGCGCCATCTCCATGTGCACCACTTGCTCCCCTCCCCCCTCGTCCGCTTCGTCAGACGATTCCCGCATCCGTTGATGGCAGACCATCTATGGCAACGCAGCCTGATGCGCAAGGCACCGTGCC